TTATAAAAAAAGTATGCGAACATTACAAAAAAGATTAAGTAGTACATGAAATTAAGTACTTTTATAAATATAAAAAACAAAATAACATTTCATAAATATAGGTACAGTTAATCCCTCCACGACCGCGGACACGCCGGCGCGGCGTTACAGTTAACAATAGATTTCTTAGAAATTTAATTAATTTCTTAGAAATTTACCTGCAGGTATTATCAAAATATTTAATAAAAAAAACTTTTTCTAAATGAATAAATCAAATAATATCTAGTCAAAACGAGAATTTTCTAAACCTAACGATTCAAATTGAACACTAAAGTAAAATGTTTTATGTTCTCATATTTAGACACAATTGTATATGCGATTCCACCATATTTGGTATTGCATGAGCTAACACCGTGTACGATTAATTAATATTCTACAAAAGAAACAAAAGGCTTTATTTAAACGATTCCATTAAATTTTTTAAGATGCTACAAATTAGAGTATTCGAGTATAATTTTCGTCCATGAAAATTATTAACTTTATATTAATTATAATCTATACTAATGTTAGAAAGAGAAAGAGTTTGTTTGTTTGAACGCGCTAATCTCAGGAACTACTAATCCTATTTGAAAAATTCTTTTTGCTTTAGAACGTTTAAGGCTATAGGCCAAGAGAGCAGAGCAGCCATGTCAACAAATCGGGCAGACTTCCATACATTATTGTAAAACTGATGTTTATATCGGAAGTTTGAAAGCTGCGGGTAGTGCTAGTATTATAATATTTTTAGTTTCGTTTCATTTTGTTTATTAAATTGCATTGTCTTACCATAAAGATATATTTAACTAATGTTACAACTTAGATTATTGAATAATATCTTTCATAGATCAAAATGAAAACAGAAACAATATTTGAAGAGGCTTTAAACAATGAATTCGTAAGCAATTTTACAACCTCATGAAACTTGAAAGACCAATATCCATACTTTTGTTCCTGTAAGCGCTTTATGGCACAGGTATATTATAATACCTTTGTTAACCAGACAATTAAATTCACAAGTCATTCTCCGCTTGATCTTTAAGTTTTTTGAAGTACCATAAAGTTTTACGTGCAGGTAGTTGCAGTATATATAGTTAGCAAAATTATTATTAGCTTTGAACAATACACTTGTTATCGCTCAGCGACAGGTGCTTTTTTAAAGCTTTTGTAATGTACGGTATATTAATATTAAAAGTATCTAATACTAATGATCTCACGACTTAAATAGCATTGAAGAAATGTTAAGATTGCGATTTTGACTTTAAGAATATATATATATATATATATGCTTATAACTCGTACATATTTATATATTAATGTGTAAAATCACATAATAGATTAGGTTTTTTTGAAAAAGCTTTATCTGAAGAATCTTAGGATATGACATCATTTGGTTCATCATTTTTTTTATTAATAAAGCAAGTTTTCACATCGTACATCACAAATTAAAAATATACTCTAAAACAACAAATAATTTCAACCCTATTTTGAAAGATTTAAGAGCTACAATCGTTACTAAAAAACGAGAAGACCTATAAAATGAAACTTAAAAAATGAAACTTAGAATGTATTATTACAGTGTAAATAAACTTGCAAAATGGCCTTTATTGTGGGAACAGTAAGGGTTATTAATTTGTTTGGAAGAGCGTGCGAACCAGTGTAGATTCCGGCGCAGATATGGCTTCAGACGGGCGTCGTCCCGCGATCGTGATGATACTTCTAATGCACTATTACGAGTTTTTCAGTAGGGTAACCATTGGTTTGTGCTTTTATTTAGTTTTACAGATTAATTAACACACTATATTATCCATTTTCCGCCTTATTAAGGATAATCGCTAGTTTTTAGCACTCATTTAACCTTAAAAGAATCAAATCGGCGACCTTTGTCATACAATGATGAATGCTGTTTGAATATATGCCACAAATATCGCTGAAGGGTTAAATTATTTATTCAGATTACTTTTTTATTCCACTGCTTTATTTTCAATTACTGTAATTCTAATAAAATTACAGAACACTTAAATTAAAGTCATAGTAAAGTTAAAAATTACTAAACGTAAAAATATATATTAGAGTCCATCCATGAACTAAATTTTCACTCTAATTACAAACAAAATACCGAAAAAAGCACATAAACTTTTTATATCCGAATACATTTATGACCGACGGCACTTAAACAATGAAAAAAATACATTTTTATAATAAAACATTCATATCTCATAAAATAATAAATTACGATAAGATTTTATTCTAGATTTAGAAGAAACTTTGGTAAGCCACGATTACCGAAGCATTTCTAATTTAATTTTGACATACAATTAGTTAGCCGTACGATGCACGTTCTGTCCGTTCGGTTTCACACGAGAAATTCACGGTCACTGACTATGTAAATGGGGTAAAAATGACTTATTCTTCAACTACAGACAAAATAAAAGTAATATATTTAAACATTTTATTATAAAAGTCGAATAAAAATTCAATTATCATTTCCCTCTCTTTGCTCGGGTTCGTTTATTAGGTACGTTTTAACGATTAGTGTGGAATAGATAGACTATGTGTTATATGATATATAGCCTATAGCTTTCCTCAATAAACGGGCTATCCAATACCAAAAGAATTTTTGTTATCGGATTAGTAGTTCCTGAGATTAGACCGTTCAAACAAACACTATATCTTTATAATATTAATAAAGTAGCATTGAATTTATTTACAAATTTAACAATACATATTAAAAATAGAAATATGTATTTTATATACTTTTTTTGTATGAATGTAATTTAAATAAATAAATAATATAATATAAAAGATAAATTTCATATATTTATAAATAATGAGTATTATGTTACAGTATCGCGTCTCAAAAGCATCAAAAACTATCCGCCCAAATATCATAGCCACTGCACAAATTAGATTTTTCCAGCTACATTCTTTAAGGTGGATTCACACGAACACCCACACATTCACGGTCAGTGAATATGTAAATACATGGACTCCTATAGGAACAATGCGTAACGGCTTTACGAAATCACTATCTACATCTTGAATTTATACTCTTAATATAATAGACGTACAACTTTTAGAATATACCTACGTAAACGGTATTATTTTGTAAAATATTACTTATTGTCTTCTATAAAAGTATTAATTAAAACCTAAAAATATTAATAAAAGTAAATAAAATAAATTATAGTTAGTACTCATGAAATCCTTTATCTAAAAAGCAGAATTATTGAAAATGAACTATTATACATATTCTAGGTTTCTTCCTTTTAAAGAAAATTTATAAGATTTATGATTTAAATAAACACTTAGTCACTACACTTTTTGGTGTTATTTTTATCTTAAAGTTTATAATGAATAAGATTAGTCCAAAAAAGATAAGCCATAGGTAATAATCTTAATAGCTATTTTTAGAGGAATGCCGTGTACTGGTCATTCCCAGAATGGAATGCAGAGACTAAGCCAAGACAAAGTTGGCGAACGCTAAACATTATTTTACAATACAATGTTAAATATGTTAACTAAAAGCTGGCTCTGTATCATAAAGAGGATTATTGTGAATATATTTTTTCGAACAAAATTCTAAAGAACAAAATATTTGACTGAGCTTGAAGAAAATTAAATTCGATTAAGAATAATTTTCTCAAACATACTGTCACAATGACAGCATAATATATAAAATAGATACAAAAAACGAGTCATTTAAAATTTGAAAGTTAATTAAAATTTAAATGTAGTTTCTTTAAAACTTTCAATCTTCCAGCGATTTTCAGTAATTGCAATAGAATTATTTAGAATTACGTATGTAAATTCTATTCAAATGCGTCTCAACCCTCTTACTACAAAAGACATCAACGCGCTCGACGAATTCCAGAATAATTAACTACTATATTATATTATCTTTACGCTTGCTGCTTTTTGCCAGACATATAATAAAATTTGTAATAGTTGAACTAACTTAATGATATTTTTTATTAGTTATAATAATCCTTAATGTCTATTTTTTTAATATGAATGAATTTATTGTTTATAAAATCTAAGTTGAGACTAAAATCATTGGCTTTAATATATATACCTACAATCTACATGAAATGAAAGTAGTGCATAATCTAGCTATATATTCTAGACATATTTAAGAAAATTGTAAATATATGGAGCCACAGTTAATCTCATCTACTTGAAAAAGCTGAGCCCTATAGGGAACTTATTTAAATCATTTTTAATGACTAAATTTAAAGCTTTAAGAATAAATTATGTTTCAATTTTAAAGTGACTTTGAAGTCAATACAATACACCTATTTAGTAAAAAAGTATCCAATAATATATTTTGTAACCGGCGGGAATATTCAACTCTGTATATAGTTCTTTATAGGTATAATCAAATTACGGACATGATTTACTTTAAAATACGCTTCGTATAAAACTCAATCGAATCTACTAAGTACATATAGTCAATTAAATAGGATGATATGAACCCTAAGTGTCCTAAGCATTTTTTTTTGCAAACGATAACCAATATACATCAACCACGTACAAAGATAACCAACCATACAATGATAACCATTATTTATCATTTTCTCATTTCATGCGATATTTCAAAACGAGAAAATCGGCTAATGACACTTAACGACGGAATTTCACAACTTATTCATTAAGCTGTCCGGTAACTGCGACTTTCTAATATCTAGCGCTTGCTTATGTAGGTAGTCTCAAATACTTAATGAAAGTAGACACCTTATCTTTATATAAAAAAATCTAAAAGTTCTTTGAAATTCTGAACTTGATTTCGTGGAAAACAATTTGGATTTTTTTAACTTTTGAAACGAGGTGTTTAGTTACTACTCGAAAAAAAAATGATTATGTTGATAATTTCTTAAACAACTATAAAAATACCCACATAAATCTGATGTTTTATTCCCAGACTCAATACTACCGATGAATTAACATCACCACAACAAGTGCTAAAAATTTAAACAAAAGAGCTATTGAGAAAACGACACTAAAGGATTTTTCCATGCGTCATAAGATTTTGGCGTAGCATGAGAGTTCGCAGCGGTCAAGGACTGCGTGGGCTAGACACAACCCGGATGCTTAAAAAACTCAACGTACATTAACATTAGATATATGCAAATGAGGCATGTACACATAATATGCCTTATAGTGACGGCTAATAAACGAATAGGATATTTGATTTATATTTAATAGCCGTCTGAGGATATTCTACTAATTACATGCAATTGCGTATAAAATAAAAACTCACCTGCGCAGAAATCGGCGCATCCGTCGATTTGATCTCGTGCAAACTCAAGATGCCGCACGGTTTAACATGGCGGGTACCTGGCGATGTACCGGACACCCGAACTGCACGTTTTGAAATGATATACCCTCCAGCCTTAACCATATTCCCGTCAAGTTCGGCGAAATTAAAACGAGAAATGCACAGGATCGTGGTCATATGCTTGGTTATGGCAGAGGTGCGCAGGCGCCGCCGGCCGGAGCCGTGAGATGCGTGTAGAGCGAGCGCGACAGTGCGCGGGCGACTAACCGCCTCTCGCCCCGTACCCCGCCACTCCCCTCCACCCATGCCACCACCCCCGACCCCCGCGACCGCCCCGCTAGCTACATCACTAGATGACCACCTCGAAATTCACGATGACCACAGACAACTCAACCGATTCGATATTTGAATTTCAATACCTACGAGTGACGGTTGGGTCTAGTTTAATTTTCCTTTTCCCGCCTTTTCGCGAAACAAACATGGCCGAAATTCCACAATGGCGGCGCGCGGACCGGTTTAGGGTTCGAGGCGATTTCACGAACATTCCGAAAACTCTTATTCTTATATCAATAAAAATTTTATACGTCCTCTCAGTTCAGACAGCCTCGTGATACTGAAATAACCGGTTATCAAGCAACTAATATTCAAAGATTCGAAACAACTGCCTTTTCTTTGGAAGGTATTCAAATTTAAAAGCCGTTTATTCAGTTCGGAGTAATTACTATGAATATACATATACAGTGGCACCACATGTTTGAATAAACTGGAAGCCATCTTCAATAAAGTGCTTGTCTCTTTTAACTAAGCGAATCATCCTTCCTAGAAAATCAAAACTACTTACTACAGAATTATCCTTACTATAAAAAGTTTTTTTTAATTAACACATTCATTAAACTCTAGTCTACAGTCAAATAATAAAAAAAAAGTAAAAAAAAATCCGATGCCATTGATTATTTAGTTTTTACATTAACAGTCAATTTCTTTAACGCCTACATAGAATGAGTCAGTGTATTGATATTTGTAATTTTAACCTCATCTTGATCTCCTTAGTTAAGAGCTACCTCTTAGCGAAATATTGAATATGCGTCAATCAAGACAATCTGCGTCATTTTTGGTAATAGAATAATGTATATTTTTTTAATAAAATCAATGTTTTAAGGATGAATTCTATACTAATATTAGAAAGAGGTAAAGTTTGTGAGTTTGTGAGATTGTACTTTGTGACGTTGTAAGGGGTAATCTCTGGATCTATTAAACTGATTTAAATGAAATTTGGTAAGAAGATAGTAAACTGATTTAGATGAAATTTCGTAAAAAAATAGTTTGAGGCCCTGGGAAGGACATAGGATACGTTTTATCCCGGAAATCATTTCTTAACGGAGTGAAAATCGGGATGAAAGTTTGTATTGGGAAACTAGCTAGGGACGAAACCGAGCGAAGCGAGGGTGAGTCGCTAGTTAAATCATAAAATGACTCAAAAATTAAATACTAATAATAAAATAATGATAATACGAATGCGTTTTGATTTTACGAAAATAGTTTTTTTATTATTATTATTATTATTAAAGGGATTTGCTAGACAAATAGGTACACTGGTCTTGGTCTTGCAAATCGAGCAGTATCTCGAGCAGACATGCAATATTTAGTATATGTTTTACTTAGTCCGAAAGGTAATTTAAAAAAATATATAGTTCGTTCGTAACCATACGACACTTTGTGTGTAACTTGTGTGCATATTGCCACTATACCTACGACGACCGTCAATTCATCAAATGAATATACATAATATTATGACGTTTTCCATCATTTGCGGTGACATTATCCTCTTTAAACATCTTATTAGCTCCGGCGTGCTCGTTGTATAAAAACTACGGACCTGATTTTATTTTAAAGGAAATATGAATGTTATACCTATTAATTCTACTAATATTATTTATATTATAAATGCTAAAGTTTGGATAGATGAATGTATGTTACTCAATCACGCCAGAACGGCTGAAATTTGGCACAGAGATAGATTATAGTTTGGAATAGCTCATAGGTTGCTTTTTTGTCGGTTCCCATAGTATAGATTTATTTATTCTTGTTTTTCACTAGGGACGAACCCGAGCGAAGCGAGAGTGGGTCGCTTGAATAAACACGAAAGTTTGTGAGGATGGATGGATGATTGTTACAATTTTACGCAAAAAATAATGAATAGATTTTGATGAATCTTTATAGTAATATAGCTTATATATCAGAGTAACATATAGGCTATGATTTTTAAAACTAAACATGCGGAGCGACGGGAAAATGCTATTGAAATATGTATATGATATCAGCTAAGATAAAGGAGTCTGTATTACATGTATAATCGTAGGACAAAGTTGTTACAGAGTTTCTATATATGGAAGATTTGTTCGTAAATTTAAAATATAATAAAAGCTATATCAACTTTTTTTTAATGTATGCTTATTTAAACATTCCTTAAGAACAGCCAGTTAGATTAGCCTCTTTTGCTACTATTGCAGCTAGAATCATTTTGAAATACGCATGGCATTTGGAATTGGCATCTGACGCTGCTGTCAATAGCTTGTCATGATTGACTTATTTCTAGTAGCATTTATATAAAAAAACTATTTAATATCCAATCACCACTCCATACAAAAGTCAATAGGTTAGGTACTGTTACATGCTGCCTACTTAGTGGCTAGCATGTACAGCTGCAGATCCGGAAGCTTTGTGTTCGAAACCTAATATCTATACTTTGTGTCAAAATTCTTAGTAATAGCTCGGAGTTGGGAAGTTAGCACTATCGATTACTGGCACATCATCACATCTATACTAGTAATAGTGTGTTTGATTGAACGCGCTAATCTCAGGAACTACCAATCCGATTTGGAAAACTCTTGTTGCATTAGATAGCCCATTTATTGAGGAAGGCTATAGGCTATATATCATCATGATATTACCCAAGGGAGTGGAACAGTAATATAATATATAGTCTATCTATTCCATACTAACAGTTAAAACGTACCTAGACATCAACCCTAACAAAGCGAGGGTGCGTCGCTTGTTTTTATTATTACTTATCCTAGCTTCATTCGTACGTTTTTCTAGGTACCGAACAGCCTATGGGTTTGTCCAGGTCTATCTGTGTAGTAAATTTTATCCAAATTCATCCAGTCGCTTTAACATGAAGGAGTAAGAAACACACACACAAACAGACGTATAAACTTTCGCAATTATAGCGCGTCGTTTGTGTACTACTGTACTGTACCGTATGTTGTAACTAAAACTATTTTAATCATTACTGAGTTATTAACAGGAAAATATACGAGATAAATAATATGATTTTAATACTGTGTTTAATTTATCTCAAGAAGATGCTGTAACAATGTGTCGATTGTTTGAATAGGGTCTTGGACTGTTTTATGAAATGTATCTCAGTTTATTGTTCACATAAATAATATGCTGCTAAAAATATTTTCCCGCAGAAATTACTGTATTCTTATGTAAAAAAATTGAGAATTATTTTTCACTTTTGAATTTGGCGCTAAAACACCACTCTTTTAACAATCGTCGAGCGTAACGTCACTTATCATTTAGAGCGCGCGTAGACGTGTAAAGGGCTCGATTATATTCCGTAATCTGTGGGCTCGATCGATTAATTATTAATTGAAAAGGGAACAAGTATCAACCATCTGGTATCCATACGACAAGCCTCGTAGCTTACTATGGAATACATGTAACTAGATGGTGCTGTGTGTTAATGTCCCAACATATTTATACTCGTTAAGGCACTAATGTGCCTCTCCTTAAATATAAATTAAGCATTTATAAGCCCATGGAGTATAGGCAAATAGATTTGATTTTAAATGCGTCTTTAAAAAAAACCTGGACGAATTTCAATATTTAAACTTGTTCTGAGTCAAATACACATAAGTCGAACAGATCCTAAGATTTTACTTGAAATACCCATTATATGTGATGTACACAAAGCGTTTATAGTGATTTCATAGTGATTGGTCCTCGTGAGAATTTATATTAAGTCTATTGGACATACAGACAGATATAAAAACTAGCAGTACTAAATATGTAATCAAGGTATTTCGATTTTTGGTTGAGAGTGTTTTCCAAAGTCTTGGAAGATATTACGTGACAATTTTAACGTTCTTACTGATATTCGAACTCGTTACAGCTTAATACCTCCAGGTAAATTTCTAAGAAATTAATTAAATTTCTAAGAAATCTATTGTTAACTGTAACGCCGGCGTGTGCGCGGTCGTGGAGGAATTAAGCTAAACACACACTACACTCAACTCAATTATACAAGTTTAAACTAAAATACCTTTACGAAAACTAAAACTGACAATCTGTCAGGTTAAAAAAACCAACGTTGCGTACAACCTACACAATTTTCGTGTATCGTATTCGTGTAAAGTATTATCCTTACAGCATTGTGGATCTTATATATATGAAGTGTTGTTATAAAATCATTTGTTCGTAAATTAAAAACTTAACTGTACTTTCTTCATGTGCGGTAGAATAGATCGCATTCTCGCCGGTAAAACGCGGTCAGAGATTTTTTTGCGGCTATCATTATAAATGAGACAGGCTAGAAACGCTGAGATCAGATGATTGATTTACACCTGACCCCTATACTAAAATATTAACTGTTTGGTGTTTGGAACGTGTTTTAGTATCGTGGGAGAGTTAAATACATATGTAGATAGAGATATTGTGGATTTTGATAAATTAACGTAATTATATATAGCATATTTATATTTTTGTTATTATTCTTTTTTTTCTATGTACCAAGACAAAATTGGTTTGCAATATAGTACCTATTAAATGTATAGTCTAGTTAATGTTAGCATTTAAATTCAATCTTCGCGAGTTTTTTAACTTTAACTTTAGTGGCTATAAGAATATTCTTAATTAAAAAAAGTGCTTTATCGTCCGAACGTATATTTGATATCAAACTTTCTAGTGTACAATGGAGGGCGGAGTGATCGTGACTTGTGACTCGCCCTCCCATGACAGTCATGACTCATTGCTCCATCTGACTCCACGGATGCGGTTTATTTATGAGTAATCTTAGACTAACTAACGGTTAAAATTAATTGGTTATTATATATAAAACCGTTACCGGAATCTCGTATCCTTAAGAATTTTTCAAGAAAAAACATAAAAATTACTTCTTGTGTTCGCGTCTTACAAGTCCGCCATTTTTATGGTGTGATGGAAATAAAAAAATCTGCGAACACATCGTTAACGGGACATTTACAACATACAACTATCGATAATAATAATATTTTGTAGAA